GTAAGGTTCCTCATGAAAAGCCTGATAATGAAATTTAAAACTCTAAGAATTCACAATAATACACGTAAATCAAAAACAGATTAACAAACAGGAAACTCATGTGTCATCTTATGGGGCATAACTTCTGTTAGGTAAACATAAGCAGTGGTGTACTGCAGGGATCTACTTTGAACCCACTGCTCTTCCTAATCTATACCAGCAATTTACATTCTGATGCAGGCAGCAAATTAGTTAAAACTGGAAATAATACAAAAGTAGAGGAAACGGCAAAGAGAGAAAAAGCAGCAAGGGAATTACGAAGAGATTTGAACAAAATTAGAGAGCGGGCAGAGACAAATTAAATGAAATACAATACAGTACATGTTGCATGGGTAATGCAGAGCTGCAATATGAGACACACATAATGGATCTAGATCTCTATGTAGATTTGTCTGCGCACACTAGAAGATGCTGTCACAGAATGAATTACGTCACTCCGACGTATGGAATCGTTAACATCTCAGAATTCAAATGATAACGAACAGTGGGGTTTGACCGGAAACAAATGAATACAGCAAACCTCGCTTTAACGGACAAAATCTGTTAAAGTGGATTTTTTTCTGGATATCTAGACATTGTCCGCAACAACGGGCAAGTATATACTCTGTATAGGCGTAGGCATTGCTCACCTCGGCTGTTGAGTTTCGTATGCTTTAGCGAATTAAAAAACAATAATTTTCAATCCACTGAAAAGGTAACGATGTGTAAAAAAGCTTTCTTAGATGCACAAATACCAAAACAATGTAAAAATGCATACTGCATAGTTTAAAAATTCAGGAATATCCGTGCTGAAAGAAAGCGGATAACCGTTACATTCACTTATCTACCGTAGTCGGGTTGTTTTATACAAATATCAGCAAAGGCTCTTAAAAGGCTGTTCATCACAAAGTAAATAAAAGTACATACCTGATAGAAGCTAATACAGTCAGGTATATCGTGATGGAGCCCGTCCATCACGTGTTCAGTTTAACCGTGAAATAATGATTACCCAAACTCAATATCCATACTGTAATAAACTCATGCTTTCGCAGCAAATATAAGCGCCGCATTTGCAACGTCAACCCAGACGTCACAATAACGGGCTTTACATCTGTGATGACGCAACTCATTAACACAATGAAAATTGTTCATCATGTCTGTGAGATTTTTTTTAATAACAGATATCCAAGCCCTTCATTTCATGTGTTGCGAATATCATCCATCTATTCATTTTCGAACTGCTTCTTCCCATTCAAGATCGCGGGGGAGCCCGAGTCTATCCCGGCAAGCAACAGGGAAAAGACAGGATACATCCCAGATCGGACGCCAGTCCACCATAGGGCACACACAGACATACACACACCCACGGCCCATTTTCACAGAAGGCAGTTAACCTACCAGTGTGTTTTTCAGTATGTATTTGGACTGTGAGAGGAAAGCAGAGCACCAGGCAAAAACCTATACAAACGTGGAGAACATACAAATTCCACACAGACAACAGACGGCGGACAGATTCGAGGTCCAGACTGAAACCCAGGGCCCCAGCACTGCAAGGCAGCAACGTAAACCACTGTGCCCAAGGTCCACAACTGAACCATTATGCTTACAATTAGCAGCTTGTTGCTAACTGCACTATTCATGTGAGTTCAGGACATATTCATTATCTATTTTTTTTAGAATGTGAAACAATCATTTGTATATCTCAAACACAATCCTGTACTGGATGAAAGGCTCCAACCATACCCTGTAAAGAATTCTGTCTCCTGGTCTTCATATCTACTGATGTACAGTAGATGAGCCCTCCCCTGCTGGGCTCCTGTTCTCTCCTGGAGGAATTTTAATACTCCATTGTTCACCCGTTGTTCTTAATGTTTTCAGCCGCTACAGTGCTCCGTCTCCACTCGTCTACTAATATCTGCAGTGAGCTTGCTCCAAGTCTCATACACTTCACACTCAGATAATCGGACTCCATAGGATGGACTACAAATCCACTACGCTGCAATAGTACCCATGAACAATAATACAATACAGTCACATTCTGGACAGGGCTCGGTTTGTTTATTACAACTGATGACAGTTTTTTGTTTTTCCCAGATTGCTGAAATTAATTTGAAACCAAGTGTTCTGGTACACAGTGCCTGCCGTGTTCTGTGCCTACTGTGAGCTGTGTTCTGTAATAGCCGTGTGGCTTTGCAGTGTAGGGGCCTTTCAGAGCTATTTTGCGGTCACTCACAATCCCTCCCTTCTTCACAGCAGTCCATCGGCAGGAGAAACAGGAAGTTTATCTGTGCAGACAGAAGGACCGAAGGCACAAATCACTGTTCCT